CATGCGCCCACTCAAAACTCAGAGATATGGCATCCAGATACGAGTTCACTTGCAACTGGCTATGGCGACTCAGCGCCCAAACAACTCACTGTTCACATACACCAGATCACCCTGGATATCCCACACGTGTCACTCTGAACACTCGCACATACACACACACACACTTCACACTAACTATAGCTATGGCAGCTATGGCTGCCTCTACCCTATCGCTATACTAAGCTCCTCCTCTCTTGCCCACTGCGTCCTCCGGGCTCACTGCAGACCTCCTTGCACAAGTCGCTGTGGCAGCACTTCCGCATGGCTCCCGTAGGAACGAATGAAAAGTTGGGTGCTGCCTCTTGATTTATACTTCGGAAACTCGTTGGTCTGCCCTTTGCCATCGGCCCATGGTGCTCACAGTCCCCCGTGGTACTTGCTGGACCGGACTGGGACTGACTGGACTTTACCGCTGACTGACTRTGRACTCACTGCTAACCTACCGTAGTCGTAYTGCAATTGCACTGCAGTTTAGTCCACCACWTGACTCGCCACTTGACCACTTGCCCACTTGCCGACCTTCTAGAAGGACTACASCTAGACTTCTSGAACTCACTAAGACTTCTACTCTATAGACCTACAGATCGAACCCCTGCTACCTATGGACCTATGACAGACCTACCAACTGTCTACAAATATACAGGTCACAGGTTCAACTCTCGGGGTCTACACCGGTACTGTACATGGGTAGGGCGAGGTCTAGGGATCGAACCCTRGGTACTGCATCTGCTACTGCTAAAAGGTSAAAACCGTTTCACTCCCGCCGTCCTAAATTYGAGGTCCTCCGAGAATAYTTCAGTCCAAGGCAGGACCTTTACCCTTCTTGTCACGCTCATAGGCTCTGACTATGTCGGGAGCTGTTTCTAGAAGTTCTGTCCTAGTAAACCAGCGGTCATCCTCCGGTTCCTGATAAGCAAACCAGACCTTATACTGTTTCTGTGGACAATCTCTACCTCCTGTTCTAAAGACATCTTCATCTACAATGCCGTCAATGTCATAGCTTCCATCCATATCCGGGGGGATCATGGATCTTCTTGAAGGGAACTGTTGACTTGTGACACACGGCAGCAGCTTTGAAGCATGAAACACAGGGTATGTATGGAGGTGTGCTGGAATCTCTCCAGTGTAGGACGGTCCACCCTCTCCGCCCTTAACTTCTAGAACCGGCCACGGTCCTCTATATGCAGGCAGTAACTTCTGCGAGATGTTTTCCTCAGGTGCAAACTCTTCAGCCTTGACCCATACTAAGTCGCCTACCTGAAACTGCGATGGGCGACGATGCTTATTGGCCTGTTCTATCATTATGTGCCGGGCCTACCTGAGGTCCTCTACAACTGTTGCTAGTTCTTTCTCGTGCTGTATCGCAAACTCCCTAGTACCGGGCGGTAGCCTGTGAATCTGATCCCGGTTCAGTCCTTCGAACGGTCTGCGCGGTCTGAAGGACTTGTGCAACTCATTGGGGGTGCAGCAGGTGGATAGATGCACGCTGTTGTTTTATGCGCTAGCTACTTTGGGCAACATCTCGTCCCAGTTGATCTGATCAGGTCTAATATACATGCGCAGAACTTGCTGTAGGATCTTGTTCATCTGTTCTGTCTGACCGTTTGTCTCTGGATGGCGGCCAGACGACATCAATAGCTTAGATCCGTAGACTCTCATGAGTTCTTGCCAGTTCTGGCTGGTGAAACGACTGTCTCTATCGCTAACTATTGACAATGGGATTCCATTCTCACTAACCCAAAAGTCAAAGAACTTCTGTATCACTAAATCCGTACGTGCCTCTGCAGGCAAGGGAACAAAAACGGCATACTTGCTAAAACGGTCAACTATGACCATGACTTGGCTCTTGCCATGTCTACTCTTGACCTGAGTATCTATGAAGTCTATGGACACTGAGTCTCCAGGTTTATCAGGAATAGGCAAGGGTCTGAGACGACCTAGAAGGGCACGCGTAGTGGTCTTGTTCCTCTGGCAAACTTTGCAACTGCGAGCATACTCTATGCAGTCATTCTTCATCCCTGGCCAGGTGTACGCACGCATCAGATTGGCTAATGTCTTTTGCCAACCAAAGTGTCCCTCTGTATCATGGCATTCCCCTAGGATCAAACTACGTACTTCCTCGCTATTGGGAACACATAGAACGTCAAATACATTTGTCTTCTCAAACAACAATCCTTCTGTAGTGCGGTAGTGTGGTTCAGTCTCTGGGGCCTCATTAACTCTCTTGAGGAGGTCACTATAGATAGGGTCCTGTGCATATGCTTGCCTCACTTTCTCCTGCAGGTCTCTCCCTATATCCAAATAGTGTACTATGGCTCCAAAGTAGTCTGATCTCCTACTTAGAGCGTCCGCAACTACGTTGTACTTGCCCTTTACTGGCTTGAGCTCAAAATCATACTGGTCTATCTCTACGGCCCACCTAGTCAACTTAGGCGTCATCTTGGCCTGAGTCTTCAACCATCTAAGGGTCTCATGATCAGAATACACTTTGAAGTGTCTCCCTAGCAGGTAATGCTTCCAGTGGTCTAGAGCCTGCCTGAGAGCGTAGAGTTCTCTCTCGTACGTCGAGGTAGCGACCTTCTCAGAGGGCATCCTCGCTGACATGAACTCTACGGGTCTATAGCCATTGTCGTCGTCTTGCTGCAACACGGCACCTATTCCATACTGACTTGCGTCCATGGTGACGAAAAATGGCAAGGACAGGTCTGCTACTTTGAGGACAGGATAATCTATCAACGCGCGCTTCAACTTCTTGAGCGCAAACGTACAGTCTTTGTCCCATTGCCAGATTGCCTCTTTCTTAAGCAACCTGCGCAGGGGAGCGGCGATAGTAGAAAAGTTCCTCACGAACTTTCTATAGTAGTTAGCTAGGCCTAGGAACGACCGCAACTTTGTCAATGTGCGGGGCGTCGGCCAATCTCTAATCGTCGCTATCTTGCTGTCCTCTGGCTTAATGCCATCTCCGTCCAATACGTGGCCCAAGTACAAGACTTGTGTCTTGGCCCACTCGCACTTCTTTGCGTTGATCTTGAAGTTAGCCTCTCGTAGCTTCTCCAAGACCTGCCTCAGATGACCCTGGTGCTCCTGGAGGGTCTTACTGAAAACTAAGATATCATCTAAATAAACTACTACGAACTTGTCTAACCATGGCCTAAACAGGTCATTCATACAATGCTGAAAGGTGGCTGGTGCGTTGGTTAGTCCAAAGGGCATCACTATGAACTCATAGTGCCCATATCTGGTCCGGAACGCAGTCTTGTACTGGTCATCAGGATGGACTTCTATCTGATAATATCCGGACTTCAGATCTATCTTAGARAAGTACTTGCAACCTTGYACCYGATCTAAAAGATCGTCTATTATGGGCAGCGGCTCAACATTCTTCACAGTAATCGCATTCAAACCCCTATAGTCTATGCACATACGAAGCTCTCCTTCCTTCTTGGGGACAAATAAAACTGGTGCTCCAAAAGGAGACGAACTGGGCCTGATCCAACCTTTCTCAAGGAGCTCGTCTAACTGCTTGCGCAGATCCTCTAACTCTCTAGGGGACATCCTGTAGACTGCTCCCTTAGGAGTTCTACTGCCAGGCTCTATCTCTATCCTGTGCTGGATGGGTCGCGGTGTCGGCGCGAATACCCTTACAAGGGTATCCGCCCTGTTTTTTGCGTGCGACAGAAAATAAGCTTGGATTAAAGTTTAAGTATATCGCGCGAGGCGCGGCTGCGTCTATGTGTTTACGGCGGCCGGATGGCTGACTAGAACAGCGAGTGTGTGGGCGCGCGGACTTTTAAGACGCGCGTGATCTTTTTAATTATTGATGACTGAGGAGTCGGCGTGACGCGTGACCGCCGGCCAGGATTTGTTTTCTTTTGATTAAACAGGGATTAAAAAGGTTATGTCTCGTTCACTGATGAGCTTACTTGTGACCTGTGCGTACGTACGGAGGGCGGCGTCAATAGCGGCGGTGCGACTGCGATAAGGCCTGGAGCGCGGAATGGCGCGAGCAGTGACCGTGACACAGCTTGGGTAAGCCGGCGTAGACGCTGGGCGGCTGCGCGCATGGTTATAGGTAGGGGCGAGGTCCAGGTTGTTCTTCTTGGGCCTTTGCGCTGCGCCGCACCGCTTGTCTAGGATTCCGCGCTTGCTAAGCTCGGACTTGGGCTTAGCCCTATTGGTTACGGCATCGCACTATTGCGGCATAGGTACGGGGATCGAGGCCAACAGGCGACGATGCAGGAGCAAGCGAAGGAGAAACTGAGGGGTTGAGGGTCCCGCGGGACTATCCCACTGTCGAGGAAGTCTGATCGCGGGCCTGTTTTGTAAGATCGGGGGGAAAGGAAAGGCTGAGGCCGCGTGGCCTTTGGGGGAGCCGCGGGGCATTGCCCGGGTCGCGTCCTTCGGGACATCCGTTAAATTGGAACGATACGGGGAAGATTAGGCCGGCCCGCACGTAGCACAACATGTATGAAGCCGGGGTGGCGTGCCCCCTCCCTCCATTTGGCTGTCGGAGACCCCGCAAGGTTGGCTCCCCGGTCGTTCGAACGCGGCAGGTCGGTCAATCACGGGAGGAGAAGGTGCGTTGGCCAGAGGAAAGCGCAGAAGGGAGGGGAAAACGGGCACCGAGGCAAGGGGGAAGTGGAGAGCGAATCTGGGCGGGGGATCGCGTCGGGTGCATGCGCAGCAAGAGGAAGCAGGGTGACGGGGATTGAGGCAGCATGTATGAAGCCGGGGTGGCGTGCCCCCTCCCTCCATTTGGCTGTCGGAGACCCCGCAAGGTTGGCTCCCCGGTCGTTCGAACGCGGCAGGTCGGTCAATCACGGGAGGAGAAGGTGCGTTGGCCAGAGGAAAGCGCAGAAGGGAGGGGAAAACGGGCACCGAGGCAAGGGGGAAGTGGAGAGCGAATCTGGGCGGGGGATCGCGTCGGGTGCATGCGCAGCAAGAGCAAGCAGGGTGACAGGGATTGAGGCAGCTATGCGCAGCGGCAGGCGGAACAGCTGAGCGCTGCAGTGAGGCCAGGGGGGAAGGCGGGCGCCAGTATTCAGGTGGTGAGCAGCGTGGAGCGGGGGAGCGGACTGTAGTTAGTAGGGGCGGAGAGGAAGTCGGTCAGTGGGGAATGAACCCGGAGGGAGTTCTGTGCTGGGTACATGCGCGGAGCAGCCGAGCGGAGCAGCGGTAGGACGATGGAAGGAGGCAGCGGGCAGTAGGGAGCAGGTAAACAAGGGGCCGGACTGAAGACAGGGCGGAGTGAAGCAGAACACGCAGCGGGGTGATAACGCATGAGGGACGGGCGCTGAAGAAGTAGAGGGAAAATAAAGAAAAGAATCGGGACGCTTTGCTCGTCCAAGTGCATGCGAGGCGGAGAGAGGGCAGAGAGGAGCTATGGCAGGCGGTAGAAACACATAGCTCGCTCGATTCTTCATGGAATCGGGCGAGCCGAGAGGCGGTCCGGGGGTTTTGACCCCGAGCGAACTCGACTGTGTGGTAAGTTTTAGGAGAAGATGTGTGGAAAGGAAGTTTAGTAGAAAAAGAGTCGCGCGAAGCTATGGCGGATGGATGGTAGGAGGAGGAAGAAAGCTAGTAGTTACTCATATGGAGGGCGATTCTGATAGGGGAGGTTAGTAGGTATGGATTTTTGCCTAGGGCGAATCCATTAGTGCAGTCAGATTAGGAGGGAAATCAGTAGGAATGGAGGTAGAAGAAAAAAATGCCGCGCGAAGTTATAGCGGACGGGGAAAAGAAACGGAGAGAAACGAGCATGTCTTGCCCGATTCTCAACGGAATCGGGCAAGGAAAGACACGGTACTGGGGTTCTTGAGTGATGCAAGTTAGATGGGGAAGTCAGATTAGCAAGAAAGTTGCTGTAGTAAGAGTTTGTAAGAGAAGTGGCGGTGCTGGGCTATGGAGGAAAAGAAGCCAGAACGATCGTATTGGCTCGTTTTTTGGGTAGAAATAGACGAGAGAAGAGTCATGCCAGGGGTTTCGGAGGAAGGCGAGCGCAGTAGTATGGTTAGTTTTTGCGTTAGGATGTTAGTTTGGCCACGACTAGTATTATAGGCCGCGCCCAGAGGGAAATTTGGAACCGTAATGCATCTTTCCGGCTTCAAGCGGAAGATTCATTTGATTTTCTGCTCGTCCTTGGATGCGGGAGGTGTGAAGCCGGCCACGAGAGTGGGTACTTACCTGTTGGCCGCCCGAGCGGTCCCTCTGAAGCGCCTGTCGTAATGCCCTTCAGGCTGAGGTATTCGCTCGTGGTCTCGAGTGAACCTGGCCGTGAGAACGACCAGGCACAGGCGCCTACCAAAATACAGTGGGGAACTCGGGGTGGGCGAAAAGGGGCAAAGGAGTCAAAAGGGGGAGAGAGAAGGCGAAAGATACAGAAGAAGGAGAGATGATTGGCAGCATGAGGTAGAGGTGCTTGCAAGAGGGGGTAAGGGAAGCGCTTACCTCGATGACTAGTAGTGCAGCAACCATGGGGAGCCGTTTGAGGTAAGAGTGAGTGGGCAGATTGTGTTCGAGCAGGCTGGTTTGCGGACAACGAGTAGGCGGGGGGTTCACGACAAATGGAGAAGGCTATCTACAGTTGGTGATCTGGTTGGGGACAGAGTCGAATGTGTGTACCCCATGAGGAAGGTAAACGAGTTTGGCTCGATTGGCCTGTCAACAGAGGGGAGAGGGCTGTTCGTAGCAAATCGAACGAGAGTGACTGTTAGCAGCAGCCAACAAAACTGGTGATGGGGGATGAACCGAAAGTAAGGTTTTGGGGCCATGCTGCAGATTTCGCCAGCGAACGAGATTCGGGTAAGCCTGCTTGTGCTTTAGCGGCAGACTCGTTTCTCATATGCGAAGTGGAGGAGCCGTGAGAAAGGATAAACGAGAGGGTTTGAGGGCAAAGAGGACGACGGAGTTGAGAAGAAGGGAAAAGCAAGCCCAGGGATTCCGCACATACCCGTTGTGACCGAGCTGGAGCTGCCTTCGCGGTCAGATTCACCTCCCCCTCCCCCCCCTCGACCTTTCTGTGACTGAGAGGGGTAAAAACAGAGGACAGCTGGGGGTGTAGACGTTTTGGTTGAAGGTAGCGAGCGTGTTAGTAAGGTATCGCGGGTGTCCTAAGACGAGCTTAGTGAGAGGCGAACTGCGGAGTTAGAGGCCCGACTGTTGGCCGTGTGTTGCCCAGCCAGTTAGTGGAAGTGGAGTAAGACCGGGTAGGAGGCTGCAGGCTCGCCTGTTGGGTGGTGCATGACTCACTAAAGCCGATCAATGCAGTTGCAGGCGGTGTTTGCCCCTGTGCAAGCCGCGACTGTTGTGCTCCTGTGATTAACTGCGCACGGTTGACTAGTGGCTGCAGCTTGATTGTTTTCCACTAAGCTGCGGTGCACGGCTGCTGGGCCCGCAGTGTTGGCAAACTGTTATTTGGGCTCTTACTTGGGCATGACAAAGGCGCATGGTTACCATGGGTTGGAGGGGGTGGCTAAGTGACAATAAGAGGGCATTGCTATGAGTTGAGAGACCGCCAGGAAGCCAACAGCAGGCCACTTGACCCTGACTGACCAAGCTTTTGCTGCATTCTGGCCGCCATTGCGGGGCCCTCAGGAGAACCAAGGTATCAAGGCCCTCTCACGCGAGTCTGAGTGCACCCCTCCTGGATCTGAGAGTCTGAAACCTTCTCCTTCTGCCCTTCTTACTCTAAGTCTGGTCTTTTGGTTCTGAGAGGAAGGCGGCAGGCGGGATTGCAACCCGTAATCCGCGCCAAGGCCTTTGTGGGAGGTTCGCCCCACCGATTGCGGGAGCTCTGCCGGAACTCAGGAGGAGTTCTGGAGGCAGGGAATTGAAAGGTAATTGTTGCTTTCCCTCTATAGACCCAGATTATAGCCCTTATCTGTATTGCCCTTGGTATGTTTTGACTGAGTATGCTGTTTGTATCCCTACTTTGATTTTAGTTTGACTTTCAGGACACAAGTCAGACTAAGTAAAGGAACACGTGTGCAATGGCAGTTTCAACTTTCTTGGTTGTCTGAAAGCAGATTGTGAACAGAGGGGAATTGCACCAGGGGGAAGGGTGGGAGAAAGGCAGTTTTGTTTGAAGCTTGAATGGATCTTATAGGGTCAGGCACTGTTCCATAAGATTGGATGGCCTGACTGCTGTGTTTTACTTTTCGAATTGCATGGAGAGTCAGACCAGTTCCATAAGATTGGACGGTCTAATTACTCTGAATTGTGAGGGTTTGACTGTGGCTGACTTTTCAAGGGCCAAACCTGTACCATAAGATTGGAGGGTTTGGCTGCCATGTTTGGTTCGGGTTTTGGTCTGCTTCCTTTGTTGTTGGTCGAGGAGGTATGGGCAAGTCCATAAGATTGGACGGCTCAGCGCCTTCCTGTTTCATTCTGAGGGAGTAATTCTCGCTGAGGGCAGGGCATGTCCATAAGATTGGACGGCCTTGGACTCATGCCACACACGGTGGGATCAAAGAGAAACGAGCCTGGCAAAGGACCAGATATGTTCCATAAGATTGGACGGTCTGGCCCGAAACCTCGCAGATGTTGGAACCCAAAAGGTTAAATTTTGGCTATATTTTATACTATCCTATTTATGAACAGGCTAACCAGGCATGGGTTCCATAAGATTGGACGGCCTGGCTATAGCTTATCATGGAAAGAAGAGAGTATTATAGCTTATCATGGAAAGAAGAGAGTATAACTAAGAGTATAATTGAAGGTAACCCTGGGACACACTGGGCCTTATTTCTAAGATGAACAGCTCAGTCTTATGTCCAGCGTTTGAACACTAAGTTGAGAGAGGTATATATAACCTGGATATTAAACAGTTCAAGGCAGCTAAACCTTGCTTCTAAGATGAACGGCTTAGCCATATGCCCAAACGAAGAGAGAAGTAGTTGTGCAACATGTTCGTGTATATTCAATGGCTGAGTCAGGCAGGTTCCATAAGATTGGACGACTTGGCTTTATGCCCTATGTAAGCTGGGTATAAAGGGATAAACCATTGAGAAGTTACGAACTATTGTTTGCAGAGTCTGACTTGGGATGACCAGAGTACTTCTCTCTGTGGTTTAGCCTGCATGAGACTGGGTGAGCCTACTACTTGGTTTGGGTGTCAGGTTGACAGGTAGTTGCTTTAGAGGCTCGCCTCGTGCTAGAGCGATAGGAGTTAGGTGGATTCTTGCATTCTCTGAGCTAAGTTTTTTTACTTAGATCTATTCTCGCATTCTCTCGGATCTTTTGTTATACTTGGCTTTGTATAAATTTTGGTAAGCTACTTTCTCTACGGGAAGCGCTGCCGAAATTTCTACAAATCCAAGGAGTTAGTCAAATTTTGACTTATCAAAGTTCAACTTGTCTAACGGGAAGCGCTGCCGAAATTTCTACAAATCCAAGGAGTTAGTCAAATTTTGACTTATTAAAGTTCAACTTGTCTAAAGTTTATATATGACTTAGTAAAAATCTGGAAAGTCTCCTTTTCTACAGGGAGTGCTGCCCAAATTTTTGCTAATTCAGCGAGTTAGACAAAATTGGACCTTGGAAAGTCAAGAGACTATTTTTATTTTTGTATTTGGGCTGATATAAATTCTGAAAAGGCACTTTTTCTACGGGAAGCGCTACCGAAATTTTCTTAGTTTAAAGGAGATAGATTATATTTTGACAGGTGGCGATTTTGGCGATCCACTCTGTATAGGGGAGATTATGCCAGGATTTACCTTTGCTTTGGGCACTGCTTAAAGGTAGACTCAGGCCTAGTGAGCTAGGATGATTTGAGTGAGAATGTGTTATGGAGTTGTATTCTCCATACGCTTATGATTTTGGCTTGGGGATCGGCCTGTCATGTGTTACAGATCGTCTTGACCGTTGGTTCAGGATTTAGACTAGATTCAGCTTGATCCTGCGAGGATCATTTTCTGTTATCACTGATAACAGGTCGGTTGCCGATTCGTCGGTTTATGATTCAACTCCAATTCACTCCTGCCACTCAACCTAAAGACTTTAGCCTTGTGATTGAACTGTTTTGTTGTGTTTTCACCCGGACTTTATTGAATGGTCATCCAACAAAAGTACTGAGTATTTATTTAAGAGTTGCACGAGTGAGGCTTGTATGGCTAAAGCGAGGGGTATGAGTGCAAGGAATGGTTGAAGTTGACCCCGTGTAGTGCGTGGACTTTTGTTGAATCTTTGATGTGATTGCAGGTATGTTTGTGGTTCGGACTCTGGATGTGACTGTCTGCGATTACATACATATATGGTTGAGAGGAGCCTCACTGTGACTGTGAGAAGTGATTGTCCTATATAAATAAGCCTTATGTATATATCTATATGTGCCTTGGGTATGCGCGCGGCTTACTGAGATCGTGCGCAGGGGTTAGCCAGATTATGGCTTGAGCGAAAAGGGAGACCCCCTGCTGTCCTTTGCTTTTTAATATTTTTATAGTTGGACGTTGTAGTCCGTGGCAGCAGTCAAAGTCAAACCCCTTGACTTTTGCCCAGGCCTGGAGAAGGGCTTATCCCTAGGGCCGCAAGAAACGACTGCCACCACAGGTATGGACCTGTGTACCACCCGCTCTGCACAAAGTGCAAAAGAGGGTGTGTGATCTTCAACCGCGCATGGCGGTTGTCCAGCGTCGAGAGATTAACCCTCAAGGCGCGTGTCAGCCGACACTTGAGTGTCGAATGCGACCCTCGAGATTAACGAGGGCCGCACGGTTATGGGCACTACATAGTACGCCATCATTGCGACTGCTTGCGCACGTTTGCATTGCGAGTGGATATGAGATAGCCCTGTGTCCGCGCGGTTTTATACCAAGTCCCGCGCGCGACGCCTATCTGATTTCCGCGTCGGAAAGTTATGGGACGTCTACTGAAGGGGCTAGGAGCATGGTCGCGTTTTTTGTGTTGTGTCGTTTCGTGTGTGTGTGTTTTATGTTTGTGTTCGTAAAGTGGTATGCGCGTGGTGTGTGGGATGCGTCCTAGTCGACCGACGTCGGGTTGCGCTTGGGACTTCAACCCCCCAAGATGTCGGTTCGCGTGCGGGCCCGATAGGCGTATTACCGCGCGTACCCCCTATGCTACAGCAAATGAGAAACGCCCTCGGCTGGTCCACCTCTGCGATTGCAACTGATTAGCTTTCGTACTGTGGACTGGTAGCTCGGCGGGGATACGCCCACCGAAGGGAGGTGACAGCT